AAGCCAGACTTTTCCATTTCAAAGTGGCAGAGTTCCAGTAAGCTGAGAAGAGGCAAGGACTCCTGAGGCTTACGCTTGGAGCTGACACACCATCACTTCACTATAGTCTGTGGCCAGAATGAGTCATGATGCCATCCAATCCCCAGGAGCATAGGAGTGAGTGTTACTTCCCGATGAAAGAACTTTCTAAGTCCCTTTGCAAGGGGGCTTCAGTGCAGAGAAGGAAGGAGGGATTGAGGTCCTTTTGAAATCTGCTTAATACAAAGACAGATATAGTTTCAGAAAGAGGGACTGAGCATACATAAGGTGTTGTGTATCAACTACTACAAAGGGCCTCCTGGAGCTAAGAAGTCTGTTTTTTAAAAATATATACATTTTTATTGGAAAACCAGATGTACAGAGTGAAGGAGAGACAGAGACAGACACAAAGACCTTCATATGCTGGTTCACTCCCCCAGAAGCCATAATGGCCAGAGCTGAGCCAATCCAAAGTCAGGAGCCTGGAGTTGCCTCCAGATGTCCCAGGTGGGTGCAGGTTCCCAAGGCTTTGATCTGCCCTGTACTGCTTTCCCAGGCCATAAGCAAGGAGCTGGAAGGGAGGTGAGGGCAAGTGGGACATGAACTGGCACCCATAGGTGATCCTAAGGCATGCAAGATGAGGGAGAACTTCAGCCACTAGTCTACTGCACTGCACTCTGAGCTAAGAGGTTCTAACAATAAATTAATCTCTCTCAAGAATTCCACTGTAAAGCCATGCAGCAAGTAGAGTAGTAATCATAGTTTTAATTGCTAAGGAATCCTGGCTAATGACATGATAGTTTAAGCTGTGCTCTCACTGTGTGTTGAGTGGGTATTGGACCATTTAAGCTGCAGGTTGCAATGCTGGGGCTTGAACACAGGTGCTCCAACTTGGGCTGCAGCATCACAGTGTGCAGCTTAACCAGTGTCCCTAACACCCAGCTGTTGCTGGTACCTCTGCCTATCGTAAAAATGAGTACATTTCAGGCTTTTTTCTGCTACAGTTACAAGAACTTCTTATAACCTTGAGTTATCATATTGGTTAATATAAATAAAGATGAAGATTCTGAGTAAATCTGGTGATTTTTCTGTGTGAAGACCTTCCTGAACCCTATTTGTGTACTTTGCTCCTATCCCAGAAGCTGGCATTCTTGTTTTCCTAAATCTTAAATCCAGAAACACTCTGACCTTATACCAAAGTTCAGACTTTCCTAGGTGTTTCTGGGATGAGTTACCAGTGAGACTGGCTCTGATCCCACCTTGAAATGGTATTTGAGTTCCTGATTGCTGCTGCATCTTTCTGACAGTGGATGTAGAGACTTCATGAGTCCACACTCCCGGTCCTGCAGCCTTACTTTTTGTGCTCATGCTGGAGCGGCTGCGCCTGCTTGGATGCTGTCTGTGTGGAACCTGTGAGCATGCTGAGCTCGGAGAGAAGCTTTCTGACAGTGAATGCCCTGCCTGCAGGTTCTGTCTGCTCCTCTGTCCACCGTCACACACATAAGTTGGAATTTGCTTTGAAAACTTAGATTCCTGTGTACCTGTGGCTGGGTGAGTGGCTCTCCTGTCCTGTTATTTTTGCCGTCCTGTTCCCTTCTTTTCCATCATGTGTACTTACCTTGTTTTAGTATGTGGATGTGGAGGTCATTCAAAAGTTTATAGATGTTCTTAAAAATTTATTGTTTCTTTTTCTGGGTTGGGGAAAATTACAAGGAAGAGTCTGTTTTTAGCAGTTTTTTTCCCTCTAATCATTGGATATCTGAGGATATTTTTAATAGGTTGTCGAAAATGGAGATAAAAGAGAAGTTTATTTTATCCAATAAAATTCGAAAGCCATTTATAGTTTGTTTCTGATACAGTTAGACCAGGAAATTTTTGATAACTCCTAATATACATGCATTTCAACATTTGAGTGTATTTATACATCTGCTAGAATATATAAGGATAGAGACTGTTATGGGGAAAAAAATCAAGAGAAAAGACTAACTTCCTTTTGAAGATTTACACAATCTCCATTACATATGATCACATATAGTAAAATTATCAAGTAAAACTGCATCTTAAAGATGAAGATTGTCCTTGGAAAGTGTTTATCGTTGGTGTTATTGGCTGTTATTATTGAATCTCACAGTAAGTGAGTTGGAATCGACATTCTGTTCCCCTCAGATCCCGTTACAGTGAATTTGTGACTTTCACGTGGAACCCATGTGTTGTGCGGATCCTGGAGGATTTCATGCCTGGATACCATGACATTGGTTTCTGCTTCTGAAGCCCCTTCGGTTTCCCTGCATGCTAGAAAGTCTGTCTGGGCAGTGTAACTTGAGTGTACTTAACTGTTTTGTCAGAATGGATGCTCTTGTTGTCATAAATATTTTTCCAAGCAGAGATTAAAAAAAATTGCAGAAGGAATACAGGTCAGATTGTAAGGTTTGTTTTCCCTTCTGACTTAATGGTAGTTTATATATTTCTGGAAGCTTTAGTTGAAAGGCAGAATCTACAGGGCATACTTAATTTGTTTATAACCTTTTCTCTCTGCCTTCCTCAAGGACAGGACTATGTGTATCCCTGTCAGTACTGTGTGTGTATGGCATATGGAGTTACGGAGGAGAAAAAGAAATGTAGAGGGAGAGAGAGAGATGGATCTTCATCCACTGGTTTCCTCCCCAGATGGCCATAGCAGCACGAATTGGGTTGGTCTGAAGCTGGGAGCCAGGAGTACTTTTTGAATCTTGCATGCGAGTGCAGGGGCCCAAAGTATTGGGCCATTTGCTGTTTTCCCAAGGCATTAGCAGGGAACTCTGTTGTATGTGAAGCACCTGGGACGAAATCCAGCATTCAGATGGGATACTGGCACTGCAGACAGATGATCAGTGTGCTATACTACATCAGCCCCTAAAGAGAATTTTTAAAAAGTAATTTCTTATGATACAGTTCTATAGGCTCATTGATTTCCCCTCCCTCCATGCCCAATTCCCCTCCCCCACTTCTCCCATATTATTATAATAGTATATTCCTTCAAAAATAGCCATAAATTTACAATTCTGCTATTTAAGTATAACTGGAATTATAAGTATAGGCAATGGCAGAAAGTCTAGCATCCTAATATTAGGTTATATTTAACAGTCATTGGGAGTCTGTCTCTGATTTGGAAGTACAGAGGCGTACTACACTGTATTTTCACTTCTTGATGTGATAATCTCTATTATACAGTTCCTCTGGATGTACAGGTATGTACCTATTGATCTTGCGTTTTGTGTAAAGGTTTCCTTCTATCAGAGAGAACACACAGTACCTGTGCTTTTGGGATTGGCTTATTTCATTGCACATAATGGTCTCTAGTTGGGACTGTTTGCAAATTGTAGAATCTCATTCTATTCCATGGAGTAGATGGATCACATCTTCTTTGTCCACTCTTCTTTTGGTGAGCATCTGGGCTGTTTTCATGTGTTTGCTACTGTGAGTTTTGCTGCTGTAAATTATACAGATTATTACAGATTTTTTTTATCATATGCAGATTTCATATCCTGTGGAGATATTCCCAGAATTGGTATAGCTTCATCATATGGCTGATCAATTTTTTGTTCTCTTAGCACTCTTCCCACTGACTTCCATAGTGGTTGTACTGGCCCCCACATCCATGCCAGCAGGTGTTTTCATAGAATATAGGCCAATCTCACTGGAGTTAGGTGAGCCACAGTGTTGTTTCTATCTCCCTGATGGCTAGGGAGCCTGAGCATTTTTTTGTATTTCTATTAGCTTTTTGAATTTGTTTGAAAATGTCTGTTCATTTCCTTTGGCTATTTTTTCACATTGTTGTTTGTTTTGGTATCACTGAGTTCCTGAAGTTCTTTATGAATCCTGGATATTAGACCGCGCTGTTGGTTGTGTAGTGTGCAATAAGTGAATATTTTGAAAAATGTTTAAGTTACCTCCTCAGCTTAGAAGTCTACAGTGTGTTTCTCTTGTCATTATGAAGTAATACAAAAATGGGTTTTGGTCTTAAACACTGGTTTTTGTTTGCCTTTCTTCCTTCCTCAGCTGTCCTGCCTCTTGCTCTAGCAAGCTCATATTCTTCAAATCCTTCATCCTGCCTTCGAGTTCCTTTCATATTACAGACTTGAATCTCTGTTTTATCCTGTGCCTGAAATCTTGTTCCTCGTTGTTTGCTTAGGTCACTCGGATTTATCTTTCAGACTCAGAGTAAAGATCAGTTTCTTAGAGGCATGCTCTGCCTCCCTTCTCTGAATTTGGTCACCTTTCCATTCTTCCTGTCGGTGCTCAGTGCTGTTACTTTAAAGCACTTATCTCAATTGGCAGTCATAGAAGTGTGTGTTTTTTCAGTTGTTACCCTTAGAAGACAATGAACAGCAGAGAGTAGAATTATCACCTTTTCTGTTCAAATCTGTGCTTCCTATTAAGCATTTGCCCAGCAAATAGTAGATTCTCAGTAGCCATTTTGTTGAATAAATTCAAATTTTCCTTACAAGATGGGATTCTATCAGAAAAAACACCTATGTTTATACTTATTTTTGCTTTCTTGAATGCTTCTGCTTTAAATGCTAGACCTGAGTGAGGATGATTTTTTTCCTACTTCCCAGAGCATGGAAGTTAACATCCAACTGTACACCAGACCTGGCAAATGGCCAGAGTGGTATCTAAACAGTGTCCATTTTTTTCTTACAGATGGTGGGGTTAATAATATAAAGTTGTTATGTGGTTTTCAAAATCTACTCCACTCTAGGGAAGAAATTCAATACTTTTTAAAATCCTCACCTATTCATTATTTAGAGGTTACTCACACTAATATGCATTTTAGCTTATTGCTTAGTAAAATTTTGGCCAATAGGATTTCAGTATGCAGGCACTAAAACAAACTTTTGGATTGGCTTGACTACCTCTGATGTCATAATTTCTCCATTAGCAAGTCATAATTACTTGAAATCATACTGCACTTACAACAACTCTTGCTATTTTGTTTCATTATAAGAAAGATAATCTGCCAAGAATAAAAATGCTGAAAGGAAGAAGATTTATTTGATCCACACAGACCATTTCCATTTACAGACTTCGATAATCTCTTACAAATATTTGAAGCTGGCTTCTTTCTCTGACAACTAATATTTTATTTTTCATGTTTGTCAGTGAATAGACAAATGGAGGAATGACCCTACTTAGAACTACTGCTTTGACTCATGGTTCTATTTCATCTCGACTGTTAAGGCTTAGCATCTTTCTCCTCCTTAGTCTTCCTGACTCTAAAGGAAAAGCAATATGGACAGCTCATCTGAATCTAACATTTCAGGTGGGAAATCGGATTGTATCAGAACTAGGAGAGAGTGGAGTGTTTGGGAATCATTCTCCTCTGGAAAGGGTAGCTGGTGCAGTGGTACTTCCTGAAGGCTGGAATCAGAATGCTTGTAATCCTTTGACCAATTTCAGCAGGCCTGAACAGGCAGACTCTTGGCTGGCTCTCATTGAAAGAGGAGGCTGTACTTTTACACACAAAATCAATGTGGCAGCAGAAAAGGGAGCAAATGGGGTGATCATCTACAACTATCCAGGTACAGGCAACAAAGTATTCCCCATGTCTCACCACAGAACAGAAAATATAGTTGCAGTGATGATAGGCAACCTAAAAGGCATGGAACTTTTGCACTTGATCCAGAAAGGAGTTTATGTGACAGTCATCATTGAAGTGGGAAGAATGCACATGCCATGGCTGAGCCATTATGTCATGTCTCTGTTTACCTTCCTGGCTGCCACCATTGCCTACCTTATACTGTACTATGTCTGGAGACCGAGAGTGCCCAGTTCCTCCACAAGGAGGCGAAGACAGGAAAACGCTGACGTGAAGAAAGCTATTGGTCAGCTTCAAGTTCGAGTGCTCAAAGAAGGCGATAAGGAACTAGATCCAAACGAAGACAGCTGTGTTGTTTGCTTTGACATATACAAGCCCCAAGATGTAGTACGTATTTTAACCTGCAAACATTTTTTCCATAAGACATGCATTGACCCCTGGCTTTTAGTCCATAGGACTTGCCCCATGTGCAAGTGTGATGTTCTGAAAACTTAAGAAAAACCGGAGAACCATCTGAAGATACAACCAGACCTTTCTAAAGACTGCGATTAAGCGAAGGATTTGTCGTAATTCACTTAGAAAATTTCAACCTCAGCTTCTTTATGTAACTACTACGGGGGGGCAGATTTTGTGTGTTTTAACAATAAAATTCCTTATTACCAATCTATTTGAGTTGTTGTCTTTGTCATCAGTTTTGTTACTCATTTTTGCTTTTATAAAAAACAATGTACAATTAATATATCAATAATTACATTCACATTACTATGATTATGACAGACGCTATAGAGGCATGTTATTTTGCAGCTTCCTTTCATAAGCATGGATTTTTATACCCTCTTTCTAAACTTTTTAAAGATTTATTTGTTTTTATTGGAAAGTTAGATACACGGGAAACTTATTTTTTGATAACTGATAATTTATGCTTTTGCTCAGGACTCCTCAATGTGGGATTAAATTTTGATTTAATTTTCATTAATACTCAGGAAACTTGGTTTCTAAAACTAATGGCTGGGTAAGTAATAAACTCATAATTATTTTACCTAATAATACTTTTAGTCATATCAGTGACCATATTGCAGGCCCAATTTAGGGCAGAAGTGCAGAATTCACCTCTCTTGGCCAGTCCTCTATACCTCCCCATGTTACAACCAGCTGTAGGAGCGGATGTTCTCCTGTTACTGACCCTAGTAAATCCTGTTTCTCTTCTCCAAAATAAAAGTTTCTGTTTAGGACCTTTTGATAACAGAGTGGAAATTTTGCTGCTGTTCTGTATTGTTTATTTTGCCTCTCCTGGAAACATTGATGCAACAATGAAAGCCTGAAAGATTTGGGGGTTGTTTTGATGTTAGTCTGGAAGATATGTTAAGCCCTTGAGTGATAGTTTTGTTAACATTTTGTAAATCTACACGCTATCGCTATGTTTTTTGAAGGGAGTTAAGTGAAATTAGTTCAGTGGCCTTTAGGAGAGCAAAACAGACATTGTAAGCTCAAAATTTTATGGCTATTTGCCAGACCCTTAAGGTCCAATGCTTCTTCCAATTCCCTCCCTTAAAGAATCATGTGGTTTCATGTTTTATAAGGAGTACAAGCTGCCTTCATGATGATGTGTTCCCATATGGATACAGGCAAAAGACATTTATTTTGAAGATTGAATCTTTGTCAATTGTTAGCTCACCAAAGCCAAAAACCCCACTGAAACGTATCTCCCAAGAAAGTGCATGGCACTAGCTGTGGCCCCATGTGTGACTTCGCTTGTTATTTTTTACCTTTTGAAATTATATCCTACTATTGATAACAAAGGTAGCAAATATGAAAGCAGAACTAACTGTATATAGGATCTTCCACCAGGGATATTTGTTTAATTTGGCAAAAATGGTTAACCGTAAGTGGGACTTCCAAGATTTTCATTTTATAATCAATGACTACGTCTTTTGAAAATGAATTGGGCTAACCTAAGACTACAATATGTAAGCATCCTTCCCTGAAAATCTTGTTAGTCTCTGTCAGGGTCTGCAGAGAAATGAGTTGTCCTAGGGGTTAGTCTTTTTTTGTCTCTGTTCCTATCATCCGTCTATATGTATGCACTCTCAGCGTGAGGCCCTCAAAGAAACAGAACTTCCTCTCCTGCAAATTGAAACAAAACCAACACGTTTCTGAGCAATGAAAAATGTAGTATAGTGGCTTGCGTGAAATTTAAGCACTTGGACCAGATTGAGGTATTAATGCTGTCAATGCATCATCTCTTTTACTTTGAATTTTGTCACAGTTCTAGTTTTTACTTATTTTGTTAAATTTACTGTCCTTTCAGAAATATATTTTTGGAAAACAGTAACTATCCCACTCTTGCATCTTGATTGTATTGAGTTCATGTTTTAGTTTAATGTGCTACCTGTCATGATTATTTGTAATTCAGTAATAAAATCCATATTATAACATGTAAGTCACTCCTAAAAACAGCAGAAGTATCAAGCCAATAGGTTTGTAGCTTTTTCTAAGCTCTAATTTGATTGGCTGCTTTATCTTTTATGTCATAATCACATCATGCAACAGTAGGTGGTATACTGCGAGACTTTTTTTTCCCAGTGTGAAGTTTTTCTCTCTAATAAAACATCTGCAACTCATAAGACTGCTCAAAGAATTTCTTTAAAAAAACATGCTGGAAGATAGTGGATCTTGTCTTTACTCAGAAGGCTTTTTTCTCTTTGTATTAAATTGATTGTCAACAGATGTGGAGGCTGCATCTTTTTGCTGAGTTGGTGCTCACATCTCTAGGTGGAGCGAGAGATGAAGCTACTCAAGGATGGGACTTGGAGAAACAACATCGTGTCTCCCTGGCTTCTGAAATTCACTTTTCTCTGTCTGTTTAGTCAGTACTCTTGCCGAGCAAGTGCTGTGTGGACTGCCTACATGAACATATCATTTCATGTTGGGAACCGCATGTTGTCAGAGCTGGGGGAGACTGGAGTGTTTGGAAGAAGCTCCACTCTGAAGAAAGTGTCAGGAGTTATAGTGGCACCAGAGGGAAAATCACAAAATGCATGTAATCCTGGGACGAATTTCAGCAGAGCAAAGAACTCCGAGACATGGCTGGCACTCATTGAACGAGGAGGTTGTACTTTCACACAGAAAATCAAGGTGGCCACTGACAAGGGAGCCAGTGGCGTGATCATCTATAACTTCCCAGGAACTGGCAATCAGGTGTTCCCCATGACTCATCAGGCATTTGACAACGTCGTTGTAGTTATGATCGGTAACTTAAAAGGTATGGAAATCTTGCATTTAATCCGGAAGGGAGTTTACGTTACCATTGTGGTTGAGGTGGGGAGAAAACACATCATCTGGATGAATCACTATTTTGTCTCTTTTATGATCGTCACATCTGCTGCCTTAGCATATTTCATGTTTTATCATATTCGAAGACTGTGGGTAGCAAGGATTCAGAATAGAAGATGGCAGCGATTAACAACAGATCTCAAGAGAGCATTTGGACAGCTTCAGCTTAAAGTGTTAAAAGAGGGAGATGAGGAAATAAGTCCAAATGGAGACAGCTGTGTAGTTTGCTTTGAACTGTATAAGCCTAATGATACAATTCGCATTCTGACTTGTAAACACTTTTTCCACAAGAACTGCATTGACCCCTGGATTCTAACCCATGGGACATGTCCCATGTGCAAGTGTGACATTCTGAAAGCTTTGGGGATTCAAGTGGATATTGAAGATGGAACCGAACCTTTGCAAATCCTGATGTCCTGCGAACTGCCTGAAATCCTGTCTTCTAGAGAGGAGGAGGCAGATAATGAACTTCCTCCTGCAAGAATGTCCGATAAAGTGACCCCTGCGGAGGAGCACCCTACTTCTCAGAATGATGACCAGCAGCCCATTTAGTTGTGGAGAGCGTTCATCCTTCAACCTTAACAGCTTGACCTTTGAGGAAGTAAATTAAACCTGTTTGTCAACTAGGTGCCAATGCTGACAAGCATTCCTGTGTTTAAAGTGTCATTTTTGTGTCCTTTTTGGCTACTTCAGTAGTTTTCTACATTGTTTGTCAAGCCTTAAAGAAAAAATGAAAAGGCCTAGAATAATTTCTTAAATTTTTGAGCTTTGCTAAATATAACTCATTACCAGTGTTATAGATATACATATGCTTGTATCCATATACACATGCATGTTAAGGCAAGGGCATCTTTTTCTCATAAGTAATTTTGTGCACATATTAGGCTGTAATTGTTAAGAAAATTGTTAAAATAGTGTAAGTATCAAGATCGATAAACTATCTTTAGGAAAGTAAAGATCATCTTTCAGTAGTGTTTTAGTACAGTATATTAATTTTGATATTGTGCTTTTTTTGTTCTTGGCATGAAACATTAACTGCACAGAATTTTATTACTGCCATTCTTGATGAACAGTTTTGTTCAAGCAATTCAGATGTTTTAAATGATCTACATAGAGTAATTTAAAACATGCAGGAACTCTTTAAGTGCCACAGCAAATATTTCAGCATGCATATTGCTTATTATAATCTCATATTTTTTCATGGTTAATATGAGGATTTTTAAAACTCTAATTTATTTATTAATGATACAGTTCCATAGGCTGATTTTCCTTCTCACCCTCCCCAATACCTCTCCTCCCACTGATTGCCCCTGTATTGTTACAATAGTATAGTCCTTCAGAAACACTCACAATCTTTACATGTTCACAATACATGGATTTCAATGGCAAAGAATGTTTATGACAATTAGCCATGGATTATTCATTTTCCACCTGCTCAACCTATTCCCTTATTTATTTTCTGCCACTAAATGTTTCAAGTGTGCCAGATTATTTTAGAGACCAGTAGTTTCATATAGCAATGATTATTGCTTCTTGGGGTTATGGATTTTGTTGTTGTTGACAATATTTTCAGTGTCTGTCAGAGTTATCGGTGACCCAGTATGTTTGAATAAACAAATAAGGATAAATATCTAATTATTATAAATATCTAATTATTAGCCTGTTTTTAATGTGGAAACTGATTAATGTAATCCCAGTAATATAAACTAATGGAAAATTAATTTTGAAAGTATTCATCCTAAATCATTCTGACAAGATATTACAATTTAGTTCAAGGAACTCTAACCTCTCTGACACTATCACTGGCACAGGAATTACTGGAAAACTGTAGAGTAAGATAGATTATCTAGTGAAATATAATTTTAGAAATTTCTCAGTGCTAACAATTCTAGATTCAGAAACACACAGAAGAGACAATAGGTGACTATAACTACAACTCCCAGAGACTGCGTGCAGGAGCAAGAATTTTCATTCAAGGTGAAAGAGAGGGCACTGCCGAGTCTAGGCCTGTGACCATGTTGGGGCAAGGTTTTATATGATAGCACACAACCTTATCTGGGAGTTTTTCATGTGTTAGTCCTGAGAGCTGTGTATCAGAACTACTAGAGGTGTTATCAAGGACACTATTTTGAGAGAGTGGTTAGGAGAGTGAAGTCGTTTTTCTGAGGATCCAAGATTCGTGATGATACAGCCACTGTTGAGAGGATCAACCCATAAGCTGGGATAAACAGCTTTTCTTTGATCACTGTTTTTGTGTCTGCCACTCCACATTGGATGTTGATGGAGGTGGCTAGATTGATTTCCTCAGGTTTGTCCAGGGAAATGACTACTGCTGTGGAAACAAGTACAGCTGATGGTGTTGGCTAATTTGAATCCAGACACACAGGACATGTGGTTGCTCATTCTAGGACTTGGCACACGACCAACTTACTTTTGCTGTACACATTAACAGTACCCCTGCATTTTATTTCCATATTTCCTCTGCCTCTTCATCTTTCTTTTCCTTTCCTTCCCTCCTTTTTCTTTCCTGTGCTCATCAGTGTCAGCCTTAGACCACGTTTGTCTGCTTGTGAGAAGCCAGCCTGTGTCTGCTTTCATTTGATGTTTATTGCAGCGTGTTTGTCTTGGTTTGAGAGATTGCCGTAGATGTTCTCGAAAGCATTGTTAGAATCTCTATTCTAGGTGGGCTGGGAAGGGTTATGTCATGGAACTTGGGAGCTGTTATTGCTGAGTGCTTGCCATGTACCAGGCAGTGGACTAAGTGCTTTTTGTACCTATAAAAAAGAAGGCATTTTAATCCTTTTCTTTAGAATGTTGTAAACAGATCAATAAACCAGTTTTATTGTGGCTTTTGTACCTGGAAATGGCATTGCTAAGTCAAATGTTAGATAATATTCATTGTTGTAGATTTTGTTTTTACCTGTTCTGCAGGCTGTATCAGTTTAACTTGCACCATCAATGAAAATATAGTGTGCCATAATGATATAGGACTATAACACGAGTTATTTTTCTGTTACTACCAGTGTCATAACAGGCTTCCCTGGAATTCTCCTTTTTGTGTATTTTTCCATTCTCTGGTGATACAATTTTGATTCCCTGCCCCCTAATTAGTATGGAATTCTTGTTGTTGCCTTTTTCATCATTACTAGGATAGATCAGATTTAATATTTTTACTAGACTGGAGAACATTCAAAGCCCCAGTGCATGGGTGGTGCTGCAGGTGGAACAACCTACCGTTTACCCATTATGTTTGCTTCACAGGTCAATACACTGATATCCCAGGCTTTTGCTCAGGGATCATTATTATATAAGCATCTTGCAGTATTTTTGCCCCTTCTTTCACAATGTTGTGATCCCTTAGGTTTAATGAGTTCTAATATTGGACTTTTCTGATTGCACCTTAGCTTATTGAATACTTAAGGTGTTCATTGTTTCAAAATTCACTGGTTTTTGATGCTGCAAGAAGAAATTGAGTACAGGAAATGAGCTGGGTTTGGGCAAGCACTGAAGCCAAGAGTTTTCACATGTAGATTCTATGAAAGGCTCGTGTTCATGGTAGCTTCATCATCCCACTTCATTGTTGACTGTTTTGTATTTTTAAAACAAATTTTTCTCTTGGGTTTTGTATGTGTTGGATTTTCATATCATGTTAAATGATCAAAAGTAGGGTCAATTTTATTATATGTAGCAGGAAACATTTTCATGTACATACCTGGTTTTCTAAAGCGCAAGAACTTTGGAGGGTTGGAGGAATTAATGTAATTTAACCTTATGGAAAGTTATGTGTTAGCTTTGCTTCTCTGGAGGGTGCCCACCAACTCCTCCCCTTTGCATGGCTGTGTAGTAGCTTGTTCCACCTTGATCCACAATTCTAATGTGATCTTCTCACACTTCCAAGTTGTGTGTGTCTTGATCATTTCAGGTACTGGTAGTCCTGATTTCTCACTTCTCTGTAGTTGTCACCCTCATAATCAGCAGTGTACCTTGCCAAGCGTAGTCATTGGAAATTGTCTGGTTTCTTTTTTAGTTTTCCAACATTGTAATCAGATTGTGTGAGTTCTTGGCTGCCTTCTGTGGCAGAAAAGGGCTAGTTCTTGATCCCTAAATTCTTTTTCCTCCTGCTCTTGCCATGTTCTTTCTCTCCCTAACTCTGTGCTCTGCCTCAGCACTCATGGAAGCAGCTGGATCCTAATTCTGTCATTCTTTTTTTCTTTTTAAAGACTTCTTTATTTTTATTGGAAAGGCAAATTTACAGAGAGGAGAAACAGAAAGGTCTTCCAGCTGCTGGCTCACTCCCCAAATGTCCCCACCAGTTGGGTGAAACTGAGCTTATCTGACGCCAGGAACAAGGAGCTTCCTCTGGGTTTCCCAATGGGCACAGTATCTCCAGGCGTTTGGCTGTCCTCTGCTGCCTTCTGCAGGCCATAAGCAGGGATCTGAGTCAGAAGTGGAGCAGTCAGGACATGAACCGGTGCCCTTACAAGATCCGGGTGATTTCAGGTAGAGGATTAGCAAGTTAAGCCACCACATTGGCCCCTACCATTAGAGATTTATTCCACCAGGTGCCATGGAATTACTTGCTTCTAGACTAATTTTCTAGTTTTCATTTCTCTACTCGAAATCATGCTTACTACTTGCTTTTGATACTTCTGAGTCAGAGTAGCCACTTAGTACTAAAGGTGTATTTTCTGTTACCTGATTCTGATCACGTCTTTGCTTCTGCTTACAAATCCTGTGTTTATCTCTTTATTCCCTTTTGTATCTCTGTAAAGCAATTCTCCTAAACCTTGGCTTCACACCAGAATCACCTGGAGAGCATTAAAAGACTCAGCTCCCAGAATGTTTTCAAGACATCTGCACTGGGATGCAGCCATTAGTATTTTTTAAAGTTAACCAAGGGATTGCAATGTTCAAACAAAACGAAACACAACCATAGGACCATTCTAAAATGTTCTTACATTAAACAGAAGACACAGTTTCATCCTTAGTATCCTCCAGTTTGTCTTGTTTCCACTTTATAAAGAGTTAAAAAGTTGATAAGTACAATTTTTCAAGAAACTTGAAAGCAGATGTGGCATTCAAACAGCTGTATGAAATCGAGAGCAATGCGATGGAAATAAGAGCTAACGGAGTGATAAAGGAATTAATGGGCTATCTCCAGGAGAACCTCTTCTTTGGTTACTTTATTTCTTGTTAGGAATTTTTTACTTCATTTTTCAGTGTCAGGCTAACAGTGATTTCAGAAGTCCTGTATACCCTTAAACAACTTCTTTAGTTCATCTCCAGGTTAACAGCACATCGTGTATAGGAAGAGTTAGGGAAGAGTGATAACCCCTTTGGATTCTGGCTTGAGCCACTAGGCTATGATGATTCCATTCAGTAAGATGGAAAATGGCAGGTGAAACAAGCTTGGAGTAGAGAAGTTTACCTACTGAGTCTGCCTACAAGTTTGAAGATGTTGTGGGCAGTGTCAGTGCATAGCTGAAATTATAGGTCTGTACTATGGTAAAATAGATAAATATGAAAATGTAGCAGAGGATTTCCTTCTTGCTAAGTATGAAATTGTGATCCGCTAGGCAGAATTCACTCTACAGTCATTTGTATTAGTGGTGATCTTGAAATTCTAACTTTTAATGTT